GAGTCAGGTGACCTGTGAAAATAGATATTTCGATACAATCCCGTTTGAGGGCATAATTAGACAAGTTAACTATTTCTGTCTTTTCAACGTTGCGTCGATAACAGACGCTAGCGTCCTATCATCAGAAACAATACGTACACGGTTTTCTCATTCCTGCAGAATCCCTTCAGTTCTGAAAATACACGCGATCGAGGTGAACGAACCTTCGTCAGTGTCCGTTTTTAACTTTTAACTCGTAAAATAAAGAGACTTACATAAATTCCGTGCAGATTTACTTTACGAAAAGACTGTGAGACCATAAACATTTTACAACTTATACATTCTATACTATATGAGACAACAAACAAACAAACACAAAATACAAGTACCCTTCGATTTACTCGTCTAAGGGAAACATTTACTCTAGCTTCACTAGAGTTTCCTGTTAGACAGCTTTATTTCCAAACTTTGTGAGTGATGGTAAACCTGCCTTGGTATACAGTGTACAGTGATGAGTAAGTGCTTTACAATTTGTGACAAATCTCAGAGCACTATGATACGCAGCATCTAGTTTGCTCAGGTAGTTGGCAGGTGCATTCATATACATCAGATCACCATAGTCCAGCACAGGTAAAAAGGTCACAGTGACTAGCCTTTTCCTGGCCTCAAGTGAGAAACAGGACTTATTCCTGAAAAAGAAACCTAGCCTAACCCTCAGTTTTTTAAGCAGGTTATTGACATGAAGTTTTAAAAGAGAGACAGTCATCAAGCAAGATACCAAGGTATTTGTAACAGGCAACAACTTCAAGTTTTGTTCCTTGCGTTGATACAATATCTAAAACAGGCTCTGGTGTCTTTTTAGCTTTTGAAAAGAGCATTATCTTGGTTTTATCCACATTTAAAAGAAGCTTAAGCTCAGAGAGCTGAGTCTGAATAATGTTAAAAACAGCCTGTAATTTAACAACCGCCTCCTGAATGGAGGGACCTGCACAGTACATCACGGTATCGTCCGCATAGAAATGTAAAGTAGCTTCATCCACATTTTCACCTAAACTGTTGATATATATGGAGAATAAAAGTGGACCTAAAACAGAACCTTGAGGAACACCATTGGCAATGTTTAACCACTCAGAAGACAGCCCATCAAAGTGAACACATTGGGACCTTTCAGAGAGGTAGTTCACAAACCACCCCACTGCATGGCTGGATATGCCAATACTGAGTAGCCTCTGTTTTAAAACGCGATGATCAACGGTGTCAAACGCTTTGGAAAGGTCAATAAACAGAGCTGCACAACTCTGTTTATTATCTAGCATACTAGTAATATCATTTACCACTTTCATTGTTGCAGTGATGGTGCTATGTTTCTTCCTGAAGCCTGACTGATGTTTAGACAGGATATCATTTATACATAAAAACTCCTTTACTTGTTCACTCACAAGTCGTTCGAGCACCTTAGCCAGAACTGACAATTTAGAAATTGGCCTATAGTTATTTAAAATAGTTGCCTCCCCTCCTTTCAGTAGAGGCAGGACATAAGCAGACTTCCATACTTTAGGAATTGTATTTGTGCTGAGGGAGAGGTTAAAAAGAGAAGTAAGAGGTGGAGCAATAAAATCTGCAGCTATCTTTAAAAAGAAAGGTTCTACGTTGTTATCATTGCATTCACAGAACTTTTCAAATATATTTTATGTACACTGAAAGCTGTAATTCACTGTCTCACCTATCCCCCATCCCGATGAGTGAATGTGTTTCAGTCTGAGTTGACGCTTTTTGGCATCACAACGCCGTTATTAAAGTTTCTCTGGTATTATATGTGTGATGTTAGCATAGCAACTGAAGCTCATCTGACTATCTTGACTGTTTGTTGTTATATTGTGGCACAAGCCGTTTTCTACAGGCACATTGGTGTACTGATTCCACTGATAGCTGCTATAATAAAAAACTAAAGGAAATCGTATGAGGCAGTATGCTGGTCTTCAAAACGGGAGATAACAGCGAACAGATGGTGATTAAAAGTAAGGTAAAAAACAAACAGCATCAAACTATGCCTGGTTAGTGTTGCCTCACTTTAAAGCTCACTTCTTATGCTATATTTGAACAATATATTACACGGACATATCTATACAAAACATGTCTCTGAAGTGTTTTGGTTAAAATACCAAACAGATCACCCATTACCCATTACTTCCAATACACGTCGCACATTGTTTTTTGGACACTTTGTGAGTTACCTGCCACACCTATTTACATATAAACACATATTTATATATAAAAGTCATCAAAAAGTGCATTTTGCATAACAGGAGACTCTTAAAGAAATGTGTTTTTTTTAATCATTTGTAGTCACTTTCTAGTCACTTTGCTCAGCACCCCTGACCCAGCCTCCAACATAAGAGTGACGTATTTGGTTTTTGGTTCTTGACGGGCAGTGGAGTGGGGCCAGAAAAGAACCGGTTTTCAGGGCCAAGAGCCGGCCCCGCTCTGTTGGAAACAGGAAGAACTGGTGCTTAATCGGACACTAGCTCCGAACTGGCCCTGGAACTGCTTTGGTGGGAAAGGGGCATGAGAGGGTCTCTGAAAAAAAAAATCTTAAAATTGATCCTTTTCTTGTCGTACTGCAAGAGTCTCCGGGAACTACCCTCTGGCCTTTGATGGTATGGGATTTTATTGATTACCGTTCCTTTAAAGCTAGCTAATGCATTGTAGCTAAGTGTTTTCCCAACTGTTTGGCATGTCGTTGTTGATATGTGTGTTGTGAAATGCTCTATTGTGAACACATCAGGGGTCCCTGGCTGGAACCATGGACAATGTCAATTACAAAATACTTAGGGCTCATTGTTAAGTCTTACATAAGCACTTTTTACTTTTGTTTTGTGAGTGCTTTTTAAATAATTACATATCACTGTTACTTTTTGTATTATTACCATTAGCTTCTATTTATAAATATACAATGCATTGTATTGGACAGCCATCGTTAATATATATCATAAAGAATCAAATGCAATTTTTTCTCTGTAACAGCATTAGAATCTTTTCATATGTTTCAAAATAATTAAGTCACACAAATAAAATCCATACTGTTTGATTTGACTTTATTGAAGCTTACAGATCACACAGCAAATACAGTAGACCATGGAAAACCCCACGAATAAATGAAACATTTAGTACCCATGCACATTTCAATGGCATTATTTAATCCTGATATGCAAAGTTGTGTTTTTTACCATAGTACCCAGTGTAATACATCTAAACCCAGCTGAGCAAATCCAAAATGTTATGAAGTCAGTATAGTTATATCAATCCTTATATTTATTCCAGTACCACAACATTATATATGCATTAGAAAATAAATACATTTATTGAGTAATCATAGATAAAGTAATGCCAATGGGAAGTAAAATACAAAAAAAACAAGGAGATGGTTCAAACAGAGATGACGCTGAGGAAATCTTTTCATGTTTGCATTCACATGGTCTTGCCCGATACCATAACACCAAACTCCTGGATGGTAATTTCTTTGTTAATGTACTGCTGAAGCTGGCGATTTGTGATATGCCCGAGACGCAACGCATCATCGATGGAGAACTTTTTCCCTGATTTTCTGTCGTGCAGAACCGAGGATTCTCCTTTGGGGCCCTTGACTGATATCTCCTCCCAGTCACACTCCTGGCTCTGCAGGTTGACAAACATCTTCCAGTCAATCAGCCCTAGTTTGTAGGCCTCCTCTGGTCTCATCTCTTTGCCTGAGTCGGGGTCAATGATAACGATAGACCTACGGAGATGGCTCTCCCTCTGTTCCTTCTTCTGTCTCACTGCCACCAGGTTCTTCTGAAGCCTTTCAACCTCCTCATCCTTCTGTGTGGTAATGCCTCGGAGCTCTGCTAGTTCTCTCTGTAGTGAATCAAGCCTCAACTCCAGGTTCTTTCCATCATCCCTTGGTGCAGACTCTGTGATAAGCCTAGTCTCTTTGCTGGTGATATCGATCTCTGAGCGAATCTTGCGGATCTCATTCTGGAGCCTTTGGTTTTCTTGTTGCAGACGACTGCTTTCGTCACGGATGTAGTGCAGTTCTTTCGAAGATTTGGTGCTTGAGAACTCCATATCGGAGAACCTAGAAGTGAGGGTGGTAAACTCCTGATCGAGTTCTCTCCTTCTTCTTTTCTCTTCTTCCAGAGTCTTCTTTAGTTTCTCAATCTCAATCTCAGCCTCTGGGTCCCTTTCTACTTGAACTTTCTCGGTGCGAACAACTCTTTCTTTCACATCCATCTTCTCCAGGGTGATCTGCTGCTGGATGAGGACATTCAGCTCTTTCTCAAGCAGAGTGCGTTTGTGCTTCTCTTCATCAAGCTGTAGTCTGAGGATGGAGTGTTCTTTCTCCTGTTGGGGATCCTGCTGCAAGACTACCTTCTGTTTGACAGTCACCTTCTCACGGTTCTCTTTGTCGCGGATCTCGAGCTCATTAAGTGTGACACGAAGTCTTTGGATCTCCAATTCTGCATCGCGCCTTGCCCTACGCTCACGTTCCAGCTCTTCCAGTTGCAGATCCAGATCAGCCTTTTGTCTCTGCAGTTGGTAGAGCTCAGTTTTCAGGCTGTCCTTTTGTTTCTGCTCATTGTTGATATTTTGTAAGAAGGTGTCACACTCTGATCTGAGGATAGGATCTTCTTCCATCTTGACCACTTCTTGCTGAACAACCTTTTCACGGACTTGAGACAGATCAATTTTCCTCAGTCTGATCTTCTCTTCTTGAACTGATCGTTCTCCCTCAAGGTCAAGGCGTTTCTTCTGTTCATCAGCTAGTTTCCTTTTGAGAGTCTCAATTTCCTCCTTAGTCTTAGGGTCTTCTCTGTACTGCAGCACTTCATTGACCACCTCTTTGGTCTGGACTTGAGGTTTGGTGTCCTTCCATCTTTGAATTTCATCACGAAGTTGGCGGATTTCCATCTCAGATTTCTCAGTCTGGTGGGTTTTATCTACAATTTCATTGCGAAGTCTCTCCAGTTCCCGTTCAGTCTGCGGGTCCGTCTTGTATTTGATGACTTCTTTAATGATCTCTTTGATCTCCACTTGAGGTCCTCGGTTCCTCAGCGTGGTATGCTCATCCTGCAGGGTTCTGATCTGGAGCTCTGAATCCCTGTAGCGCCTCTGCTGCTCTACAAGTTCAAGCCGCAGATTGGCCACCTCATTCTCAGCCTTGGGATCTGGGCGGACGATCTCCCGCATCTTCTCCTGAATAACAACCTTAGACTTCTCCTCCTCTAGGCTGGTAATTTTCCTCTGCAAGTCAGTCTTTTCGCGCTGTGATGATCTTCGTTTGGCCTTCTCATCTTCATACTGCTTTCGGAGGTTTTCTACCTCTCTTTCAAAGACGACATCTTTCTCTACTTTCAGAACCTCTTTGATGGAAATCTTTTCCTCTGCCATTGATTTCTCTTTCTCCATCCTTCTGAGCTTCTCCTGAAGAAACTGAAGTTCATCCTCCAGCTGCTTCCTGCCATCTATTGCCTTCTGCTTCCTGTCCAATAGCACTCGGTACTCTGTTTCAAGCTGAGGATCATTTTGGACTTTGATCACCTCCTCTTCAGTGATGACCTCCTGTTCCTTGTTCTTTTCCTCAGCCAGGAGTGTCACCTGCTTTTGAATCAGAATCAGCTCATTGTCCTTCATCAACTTGTTCCTTCTTAGCTCATCCAGTTCCTCTCGAAGCTTGCGCATCTCCTCCTCCTGACCACGATCTCTCTCAATACGCAGGACCTCCTTGACAGTGTATTGCTGTGCCCCTTCTTTGAGTTCTGTATCAAGGCCACGCAGCTTCAGCTTCAGTACCTCAAGGTCATTCTCCATGACATGGGTAGTGCGGCGCTCCTCTGAGAGTTTCTGCTGGACCTTATGGACTTCCTCATCAAGCTGGGGGTCAGGAACCTTTTTGATAAGCTCCTTCTTGACAATTGTGTCTTGGGGCCTCTGTCCTTCAAGGACATAGATGTCAGTCTGTATAGTTTCAATTTCTCTCTCTAGCTGCTCCCTCCTCTGGACCTCATCATCCAGCTGCTTCTTGATTCTCCATGGCTCTTCTCCCGAGACAGAAGAATTTACTGACTTGACATTTGTAGCCTGGATCATAGAGATCTCAGGTTGCTAAGGAGGGGGAATAATACATTTTAGTTATTCTTTTTAATGTGATATGATTACAATTGACAAATTATCATGAATATTATTATTATTGTTTTCAATATTGTTAAAATATTTCACCTGGTTGAGAAGACTTTGAGTGAATTCTAGACTCTGAAGCCTTTGCTTGTTCACAGCATTCACCTCAGTGAACTTGGCCTCAATAGCAGCTTCCTGTGAACAACATGGAAAACACTGACAGTGAACACTTGCTCAATTTTCTAGTTGCACATTGGAAAATGCAGAATCACATGTTTCTGGTGGCATGATTAACAATAGGGTGAGGATATCTCTAATGCTTTCATTATTATAATAATTCTCACACTAAACCGGTCTTTTGGTGGGGGTGGGGGTGCTGTTGTGGGGCAATACCACATTTAAAGTGCCCCTTTTAATGTGTGTGTGGATTCACTGGCTAATCTATCCTGATAAAGAGCACAGCTGTGATTTACTTCTTTACTCATGCATATGGATGAAGAAAACAGGGACAGGATGTTTCTCTTCACTGTGTACTATACTTGTTCATGTCACCTAACCAAGATGTTCTGAGTGATGTGACAGAGACATATCTGATGCTGTGCCTCACCTCTGCCTTGACTATCAGTGCAGGTGATTCTAGTCTGTTCCTCTTGTATGTCTGAGGAACAAGTCCATCCTCAAGGTCAAGGATGGATCTGAACTTCTCAGTTTCATTCTCGTAGTCCTACAAAGAAAAATAAATAAACCATCAATTAACATCATCTTATTGTATTTCTGTAAGTTAAATGTAGTGATGTGGTGGTAAAAAATATCTCACTTTGACAGCTTGTTGGTAGAGCTGGGCATTTTTTGACACGTTGTTCAATTCAGACTCTTTTCTGGCAATATCAGAGAGCAAGTTCTGTAGAAGACAGAAGGTGTTATACACAGCACCACTGACACAACATGTCTCTACACCAGGAAATGTGTATAACAATGAATCTCCCTGCTGCTCATCAGTCTTACCCTCTGATTCTTCAGCTTGGTCTCCACTTGTCTCGGGTCATCAGTTTCATTGGGCTCGTAGTTTGGGACACGAGACAGCCAGTTGTTCAGATTGTCATAATCATTGCGGTAATTGCTGTAAGACATCTTGGCTCTTTGCAAGCTCTGAGACCTGCAACACACAGCACAAGAGATTATTATGAGGATCTTATGTATGAGTCTATATGATATGCATTCATGTGATGTCATGCTCAGTATTTCTTTCAATATTTATTGATGCACAGATCTTTGTGAACTCTGCCCTGAGCCACTCACCTGGTGTCGGTCTGCCTATTGAGGTTGTTGAACCGCTTGTTGAGCTTCTGGACGTCCGCCTCCTGCCTCTCGATGTCGGGGCAGTGCTCTTGGAATTTAGTTGCCATGGTGTCACAGCTGCCTTTGGCCAGGCGCAGGCTCTGCTCCGTCTCAGCGATCACTGACCTCTTGGTCCGCAGGTCTGAAGCAATATCCTACCAGAGTAACAAGGCAGTGTAAATACCAGTAGCGAACCGTGTCTATCACAACTGGACCTTCTGTAGACACACACACAACCGCCGCCACTTTAATTAAATAAGAACAATATACAAGGAGGCGTGTGGTGCAGTGGGTT